TCCTGTAACTAGAATTTCCTCAATTCGTGTTTTACTTGCCTTGGCTTCTATTTATAAACTTTTTATTCACCAAATGAATGTTAAAACTGCATTTTTAAATGGTGATTTGGAAGAGAAAATTTACATGGAGCAACCTAAGGGTTGTATAGTATCTGGCCAAGAAAATAAAGTTTGTAAATTGCTAAAATCTTTATATGGTCTAAAGCAAGCACCTAAACAGTGGCATGAGAAATTTGATCAAGTATTGATTAATGATGGTTTTTCATCAATTGAAGTAGATAAATGTGTTTATACAAAATGTGTAGATGGTACATGTGTTATTATTTGCCTTTATATAGATGACATGCTTATTTTTAGTTCTAGTCTTGATTTGGTACATAAAACCAAATTTTTCTTGTCTTCTAATTTTGAGATGAAAGACATGGGAGAAGCTAGCATTATTTTAGGCATGAAAATTATAAGAGATGGCAATAGTTTGATGTTGACTCAAAAACATTATGTTGAAAGAATTCTTAAAAAAATTATTAATTTTGATGTGGTACCTGTAAGCACTCCTTATGATGCTAGTAGTCAATTAAAAAAGAATAAGGGAGATACTGTAGATCAAAATAAATATGCTCAAATTATTGGTAGCCTAATGCATTTGATGAATTTCACTAGACCTGATATTGCATATGATGTATGTAGATTGAGTAGATATACTCAAAATCCAAGTCATGATCATTGAATTGCATTAGTAAGAGTAATGAAATATTTGAGAGGTACCATGAATTTCTACTATACTAGAAGGATACAGTGATACTAACTGGATCTCTGATTCAGATGAAACAAAATCCACTAGTGGTTATGTGTTTACCCTCGGTGGGGGTGTTGTGGCATGGAAATCAACTAAACAAACAATAATAGCTAGATCTACCATGGAATCTGAGTTTGTGGCATTGGAATTGGCTGGCAATGAGGCCGAGTGGTTAAAGAACCTTTTGGCGAGTATTCCACTAGGAAATAAACCGACACCTTTTGTGTCGATGTATTGTGATTGCCAAGCTGCAATAGCCATTGCCAAAAATAAATCTTTTAATGGGAAGAGTAGACATATCCGATTGAGACATAATGTGATAAAGCAACTGCTGAGAGACGAAATTATTTCCATAGATTATGTGAAGTCAGAAGTAAATTTGGCCGATACTCTGACTAAACCTTTGGAAAGAAAATTAATATCTGAAACATCGAGGGGAATGTGACTTTTGCCAATTTGAGTTATATCAACTATGATGGTAACCCAACCTATGTGATTGGAGATCTCATGAAGTAGGTTCATATGGGTAATAATAAGTCATTAGTTGATCAAACGTGCACTATTAAATTATATCTCTTCTTATGGTGTATGTGTGTATATAGTGCAAGTCTGCAAGGAATGAGAGGTTGAGTTATTAAACTCTTAATCTATTAATCCATAGCCTTTTATAGGTAGTGTATTGTGCTGCAGAATACACTTGATGGATGTACCTATATGAGTGTGGAGTGGGGCCGCTCCTATGAAATTTGTGGCGAAATTTCTAGAGCGCTCATGAAAACCAGGCGCGCGCATGGCCTATTAGTACAAAACCGCGTCAAACAACAAAGTGTGTGTGGGTATAATGTGATAGATAAGACACTAAACTTACAAAAGAATTTTTGGTTCATAGAAGTTTAAACTTCACCAATTGTTCTGTAAGTTTAATCTTATTTTATCTAGGTCTGGTTCATAGTCCAAGAGACAACAGATTCGACGCATTATGCTCATTTGTGAAACCCAGCAAAATATTTTATTATTTTATTATTATTATTTTTTATATTCTTTTGAGATATGTGGGGGATTGATAGAAAAATACATTTGATATCTCAAAAAGAAATACTATAAAACTATGTCTGGATTTATTTTCTTGCTATTATATTAATGGGTCTTTATAATAATAATTATTTTAAATATATTTGTAAAAGAAATCAGTTTAATGTTAAATTAAGTTTGGGACAAATAATCTGACCAATGGATACTCATTAGTGTGAAGCGTTTCAATCTGACCTTTAAATTCAATAAAGTATTTCTTTCAATTCTTTAAGAGCCTTAATGGCCTTAAGTTTCTAACGGTTGCCAACAATCTGATTTCATAGTTATAATGTTTTGAAGCTTACATTTTTGAAAAGTTAAAAAGCCTTTATGGCTTGGACATGATTTTAACGGTTTTTGAAGCTTACGTTTCTGAAGTTTTTAAAAAGCCTTTATGGCTTGGACAGTTTCATATCAGAGTGTGCATTTTCTTTGCACTATATATACTTCTTCGGTTTTACATGGAAGAGTAGTGTGAAAATAGTAAAAACTTTTCTTCTTCTTTCTTTGTGCTGGATTTTCTTCTTATAAATCTTTGTTGTTTCTGCTCCTAGTTATACTAGAAGAGCTTGTTGAATCCTGGGGATACTTCTAATATTATTTATCTCGGTGTGGGCGAAATATCCTTAAGGACAATGTCTTTGACACGCCTCAAGCTAAACCTTTTATTCTCCATAATCATCCAATTTTTCCAACATTGTTATCCCAAAACAATGCTTGTTTTGATTGTTTATTTAAAATTGATTGTATTGTATTGTTAAATCCATTGTTTCGGAACAACGAAAAGCCCCATTTTACGAAACAACCGATTTGGTGTGGTGCGATTGTTTCCTATTTTTTTTTTCAATTATACCCTTGGTTGTTACTTTATAATTCTATACTTTTGTATTCCTTCTGCTGTCGTCCAAATTTTGATTCGTAAACTTTGTTCTTTTTTCCCCTGTTCGTTCATCAGTTTCTATTCACTTGAATGACTTCCCGCATTGGCTGCAAGAATATAACTTTTACCATTTGAATGATAATTATAGAGTATTCTAAACTGTAAAATCATTAACTCACATTATGAGTTTTAGCTTGGAAGAAGCCAAATTACGTCAATGAGTGTTAATACTTAGGTTTGCTTCATATTTAGTGGAACTTACGAGCAATTGGGGTCCTTAAAAGGCATGGAAGCAGCAGAAAAATTTATTACATATCATTTCCTTTACTTTTCAGAGAGATTATATGTTCCCGTGCCTTTTAAAGAACAAATAACAGTAGATAATTTCAATATACTTTTGGTCAATCTATGTTCTTTGAACACCTTTTGCTAATTTTAGTTTACCATTTAATTTTATTAGAATTTGTATGAGTTTAATTGCATAATATATTTACACTACATAATTGGTGATAAATTAGCAGAAAATTTTTTAAAATTATTTTTATGAGTAATTTTTGATAAATTTAATATTTAAAACAATTAAGGGTATTTTGGTAAAGTTATCAGTCACAGTACAGTATAATACAGTCAAACTAAATACAAAAATGTGACTTAACAACAGCTAATGATGCAGTCTATCCAAACATTGTATCCATAAAATGATACAATACAGTACAATACAATATATTATAAAACGATGCGTCATAGTGATCCAAACAAAGTGTTAGGTAAACGGTGTAAGGTTAGATCAAATGAAGGACTTCATATGGAGGTTCCACGAAACTAGCCCAAATTATCTTCTGCTGTCTATATTCGAGCCAACTGACCTCTATGAAATCCAGACTTGGGCTGGATAAAAATTTTGGGTCCAACTGAAGCGCATATTTTTCTCTTTGAACTGATTAGTTTCTTTTTTAGGCCTATTTTTTCCTAACTTATTGAGAAGATAAACCCGTCTTTTATGGTCATGTTTCTATATTCGTTGTGAAAGTTCTATTTAAAGGGTAAAGTATTTCATATTATAAAAGCTTGTATTATCAAAGCTCGAACTCGAGATATTTGACGGTCACTTATATACTTCGACCATGTCAACTATTCTATAAAAAGAATGGAGTACCATTATTTAACTTAAAATTGAAATTAATAAATTGCGTGATCGCATTTGAATTACTTCTTTACGAACCGTTATTGGAGTAAATGGAATGAATATCAAATCCTCTAATTTTAGATTAATAAAAAATGGAGATTCAAGAAAACTAAAAGAAAGAAAATTAGGACGAATCAAAATCCGAAACGTGGTATACAACGAAGATTAGGACGAATCTGTGCTCAAAACTTCACTCAAAAAAGTATCTTCACTCCATTGTTTACTCTCAAATTATTGAAATTACTGTACGAAATCTTACCAAGTTTTGAAGTAGTTCCAAAGGAAAAATACAACAAATTTAAAACGGACATATCTATATGAAAATGAATATTGCTATCATAGTACCAGTCCTGAGAAAATATTAGTGAATATCAAATTAGAAGGGCAATCAAGACGCAAGTATAACAAGAATACAAGGATAATCCATTTAACAAAATGATAGTCCAATATATTATTACGATATAAATCAGCTTAATTAGAATCATATGAAGGAATTTGAAGTTAAAGACCACAGGAGGACAACTCCAACAATTGCTTCTAGTCCAAACCATCTCTTTCCAATATGACA